CAATTCCCCTACAAGACAGTTTGTGCAGCAAAGAGGTGAGCTGTCCTCCCCCAGTTACAACCAGCAGCTTAAAATGGTTAAAAGTTCAGCTGTGTGAGAACCTATTACTCATGCAAAACACTTCAGCAGGGTTCAGTAATGTGTTAATCAGGGATGACAAACAACAACAAAAAAGTTGTCATTTGGTGTGTTCATTTAAATGTACAGTTGTCCTCAGATGTATTCATACCCTCCCATTAAAGAAGGAAAAAGACAGCTGTCACTGAAATAGGTTGAAATTGACATAAACATGTAATGAACATCATGACATTGCTTTTGAATCATGGTTCAACAGAAATATATATTTTTTTAAAAACAAGCATGATGGAACCTGTAAACTAATATTTAGCTGAACAACCCTTTGAGTCAATCACTGCCATCAAGTGTTTTCTGTAACTCTCCATCAGACGTCTGCACCTGCTGACAGGTATTCTGATTCTGGCCCACTGCTCATCAGCAAAGTGCTCTAATTTGACAGTTTTGTTCGTTTTTTTAAATTATTCTTTTCAACCAAAATTCAAAAGCAACATCTTATTTCACTAAATTATATTTTAGCAAATTTTTATTTATTATTACTTTTTTCAGTTTCTTGTTATTTGAGTAACTATTGTGAATTTTGCCTTTTCTTTAATGGAAGGGTATGAATACATTTCAGGAGTGGAGGAGTGGGGCATCCTTGGGAGTTTGTGGGACCAACAAAAATGAAAATGATTGCTCTAATTCTTCACTAAGAATGTTCCCAATTAGTACAAGAATCCAGTTTGAACTCAGTCCTTTGCTGCTCCACAGAAATTAAACCCAATGCAAACCTGACACCACAAACAACAGGCAGACTCCTCCCATATGGAAGTGATTGGATAAAATTACTACTATGTGGGATCCTGGGAGTGAAGTGAACTCAAGAGAGAACATCAAGACTTCTGTGCAAACACCTGGATGCTGAGAAAGAGGATGTTTTTTATAAAAAGTGCAGGATTATGTTTGGGGAGGGGGGGAGTTAGTTGGAAGTTACATCATCGACTGAACTTGTCCAACATGCAACAGGCAGCAGTGAGAGGGGGGCACTCACCAGATGAAGTCGGTGCAGTGGCTGCAGAAAGTCGGCTGCTTGAAGAACCGGGCAATGAATTTGTGGTCCTTGATTTCGTGGACGTTCTTTTGCCTCAGAGCACCTTTCCGAGCAAACCTGTTCGCTACGTCCGCGGTGGACGACTCGTTTAAACTTACATCAGCCATGTCCCCCCTGCACACAAATCAATGCAGCAGCAGCAGCAGCAGTCCGCTCCTTTTCTTCTTCTTCTACTACTTCTTCTTCTTCTTCCTTACTTGTTCTTCTTGGGCTGGTTTCAGTCCGTTTAGACGCGCAGCTCTCAGCGTGGAGACAGCAGAGTGCGGAGCGGCGGTCTGCACTGGAGACTCTGTACTTACTGTCTGAGGGCTTTTCCCTGCCTGTCGATACCGCTGAGCTCCACTGACAGCTCGGCTCGGTGTCAAGGCGGCCGCGCTCAGAGCTGCCGCATCCGGTTGCAGCCTTCAAAGTAAAAGAGTGTATCGTGGAAGGGACAAGCACAAATTAAAATTCTGTGTGGTTCTTTATAGAAAATATAAAACTTATAGACTATCTTGTGCATTATTTATTTATTGTTTCTTTGTTTGTTTTAGATGCTTATAAGTTTATTCTTCTTTCTGCTTCCTTTTCATTCAGAAATTAGACACTTTGCTTTGTATTGTATTGACTTGCTTTTTGTGTTGTTTTGTCAATGAATTAAATAAACTACTACCATCATTACTTTTCATACTCAGTGGATTTTGTGCAATATCAGCATTTCTACATATAAAAGAAGCTGCACAATATCAATTCCCTGTGTATATTTCTTGTTTTTTTTGTTTTTTTTTTACTTTTGTCCCTTTGTTTTGCACCGTCTCCTTTGCTGCTGTAGCGCTGTACATTTGCCCCCGTCAAGCTCAAAACCAAGATCAAGCTCAATCGTTTTTTATTTCATATCGTACAGTGTGTACAGTAAAACGCAAAGTGACTGTTCCTCAAGGTTGTGCAATAAAAAATAAGGCCGCAAGAAATTATTTTTTAAAAAGTCACATGGAATAGACATCGTGAAGTGCTCATCTTCAACAGGATCATGTTATCTTCTTTGTTTTTAGTCACTGAGAAATCTACCTTCTATTGTTTTACTTATAAAGTGGTTGGATTAATCAAATTGTGTACATAAAGCTGTTGAGCTGCTCGGCTGGTGGCAAATTCTTAGCCACTGAGTTAACCTAGATCCTAGTCAGGTTTGGGACAATGATCAGACAGCATGAGCAGTACACAGGCTGTTAAAGGCCTTAAAATGCAGCTCTATTCAAATGACTCGATGCCACAATTATTAACATAATGATGTCAGTAATTGCATCAGCTTAAAATTACAAAATAATGTTTGCATCTTTAAAAATGCATCCACATCAGTAAGTTTTATCTTGCAATGGTCCATTTAATTTCAGAGGTGGGAATAGGTCATTTGAATCACTTTTTAGAGTGCAGAAGTCGCTTTGGCAGTTTTATTTTGAGTGCACACTTCCTGTTCCTGGTCTTGTGTGTGTTCGTGTAACTTGACGCTGCTCCGCTCCTCTTCCTCCTTCTCACTCCGGCTGATGTCACGCAACAGGATCCGCTGTGGGAGGGAGGAGGCCGCTGGTCCCGCTGCAGGAATTTAGGAAGGAGGCGTCACCGTGTGGAAAAATGGTGCATTGCATAAATGTGCTTGACCTGTAAGAAATGTTCATTAATGTGCACAGAGTGGTTCACATGAAGACTGATAAAGCCAAAGCTTCAAGGTGTGTTTGAGTGTCTTCAGCATGTTTGTGCAGTGAGAAGAAGCTAGACGGTATTAATTGACATTATTTGTGCTTTGTTTGGAGACAGTGTGAATAATTCAATGTGCAGTGTGTTAGAATGAGGCAGTACGACTAGAGTTATGCATGTCATGAATGCAGAGCAGTGAGGGCCACTGTCTGCCAGATGTTCTGCTTTGTGTTGCCAAAGTGTTGTGGAAAAACACTGCTGCCCTGAGGACAATGAGATTATCTGACCAAAGCGAAATAATTCAAGTTTCACAGTTGGTGAGTCCACTTTGTGTCACTGCAAGAAAAGATGTGTTGCTGACTCAGCACTATGATGCATTTAAGTGTCATGGGTTTGATCACAGACCTTGTATTTTTTTTTGGTCTTTTTGCATCTGCAGATTTCACATTTCCTAAACCCAAATTGCAATCATTGCCAAATAAATGTTTAATTTCCCCTTCAGTTCTGCCCTTGTTCTGCATTCCAAAATGTGCAGAGTCACTGTATGGATTTCTTAAAAGCATAATTAATTCAACACAAGCGGACTCGTCTTTACTTGATTAATAACATTGCCTCACTCATTATTTAAGCTCTCTGTGTGTGTGTCTAATAATCTGTTGTCAGAATGTTGTGAAGATCTTGTATTGCAGTAATCCATAAGCACTGGAAAAAGAAATTAAAATTAAAAATGTAGTTAAAAACTGCAAAAATCTGGTAGCAATGGGACCAGGAAATAAAATGTTAAGAACAGTGAAATACTGTAACATTATTGTTATTTACCTTAAAATAATGGCAGAAATCTTTAAATGTGATATGATATTATAAGAATCATTTTACAGTCAATTTTCTTTTTGTTATTTTTTGTTTTGTTTTTTTAAAGTGAATCACCACTTTTTAAAAATACAGATTTTTGATGATATTTACAGTTTTGTCGTGTTTTTCAGGGGGTTTTAGGGTTGACTTGTAAATTATTCACCCTTTTTTTCTGTGATTTAACTAGTTATTATCTGTAATTTAACAAAACTGTAAAAATCAGTAAAATAAAATAAACAATTTTAAAAAATTACTGATAAAAAGTGTCAAGAAACATTTTTTTTTTTGTTTGTTTTTTTTTTTTTTGCTGTGTGACTCTTACGACTAGTGTTTGGTTGAGCTCATGGATTTGTGACTGATCTGAAACATTTCTCACAGCTTTGTGGATTTACAGACTGTCCTGACTTGCTCACCGATTCCCGTATAGTTCACTGACCTACGGAGCAGCTTCACCATCTCAGTCCTTCTTATGTTAAAGACAAATATTTACAATCGGGTCAAATAATCCAGAACCACTGCTGTCTGAAAGCATGCGACACTGAGCTCAACACTCATCTCTTAGAAATAAAATAGAAAAAGAAAAAAAAAGTTAATTATTCCAATAAAAAATAAAAAAAAGGTTGAGAACAGCAAACCTCCAGAGGACAAAAGGTTGACTGGGCCACGCTGATTCATTCACAGCCTTTAATTGTGCAAACGCCCTGATGTTTTGACACACGGTAGAGCTGAAATGCTGAATTAATCCAATGTTCCAGTTTCTCTTTGTGTCCTCTGAAAAAGAGCTTTTAACTGTCAGGGACCTGATGTATGTTCTATTCAAACAATGCTGCCTATCTGACGGTTGAATCCACCCATGAAGGACACACAGTATTACCTGTAATCAACAAATCATCTGACCCAGTTAGAATATTGCATCATTTCACTGATTACAGTTCACAGGGTTGTCTTTTTTTAAGTAAACTGGACCTTGTTGTATGTAGTTTCACCACATATCTCTATAGCCACAAACCAAAGAGCAACTTTTTGGTGCCTTCTTGTGTTTTTCTGCCTCATTTGAGCAAACAGCCACATCATATAGTCGAAGCAGTGTTCATCAAAACTCCATATGCAAAGTGTCTTGAAGTTCATATCACACAACAGAGTTATCGATCAACTCTAGATAAACATGCAAGAGCTGTGACCTTTGTGCTCAATCAATGGAAGCTTAAGCGAGCGTCTGATTGGATCAGACTGCCACCGGTTAGGTGACTCATCCCCTCCTCCCAGATTCACATTCAGGGGACACTGAGGAGACTTCACCCCAGAAAAGATGGCTCCCACCTTGGCTTTGCTGCTCCTCTGCCAAGTAGCCTTATACACAACTGCTACATCCAAGAAAGGTAAAAATTAAACTGAGCAGGAAAGATGCTTTATTAGTGTTTTTGCATGAAAAATGCACTTACTAGACGTCATCTTATACAGATCAGTGTTTTATGTTTGCTTGTATTTTTGTAGCTTATGCAACCTTTGATGCACCAAAAGTAAAGTGTGCACAGCTTTCACTTTATTCTGCAAAATGTAAATCTTTTCCTGTAGGTCAGATTAAATGTATTTCTCTGTACCCAGTGTGTGGCCGACCTCCTGTCACCGATGGCATTGATGATACGACCCTAAAACGCGTCTATGAGATTGGAGAGGTGGTGATCCTCGCATGTGGACAAGGATACCTGCCTTCAACAGCGGCTTCGAGCAGGATAATCTGCTCTGACACGGGGGAATGGACGCAGTTGAACCTGGCCTGCTCCCGTGAGTTAAGGCTGTGGTGTTTACTGTGCTGCATGTTAATCTTGTAGTTTATTTCCACCAGTGGAGAGAATAGCAAGCAAGTAGAAAGTGTGGACTCAGTGGGAGCAAAGGCAAAAATGCATCGTGGTTCTGCTGACATTTTAGAAAAATAACCATCCTCGAAGAAATCAGTGCATTATGTTGAAAGGTTTGCTTCACTCCTCTGTGCCTGGTTTGAACTTGTCACATAACAAAGTCCAGATGCAGTTTCAGAGGCTGTCAATTTAAAAATACAAGCTGAAGATGGTTTACTCACAAGAAAGCAAGTTTTCTTTTCTAAAAATGGGAAATCAGTTTTCAAAAACATAATCTGGTTTGATCTTAAAAATATCCACCCATCCATCCATTATCTATACACCGCTTAATCCTCACGAGGGTCACAGGGGGTTGGAGTCTATCACAGCTGACTCAGGGTGAAGGCAGGGGACACCCTGGACCAGTCTATCACAGGGCCACACTTAGAGACAAACAACCAAGCACACTCACATTCACACCTACAGACAATTTAGAATCACCAGTTAACCTCAACATATGTTTGGACTGTGTGGGAGAACCCGGAGAGAACCCACACTGCACGGGGAGAACATGCAAACTCCACGTAGAAAGATCTCAGGTGTCCTCACTGGGATGCGAACCAGCGATCTTCTAGCTGCGAGGCAACAATGCTAACCACCGAGCCGCCTTGCAGCCCTCTTAGAAATACAATAGTGAAAAAAAAGGCATGCTCTCGTGTTTTTAATATTTTTTTATATACTGTATTATTGATGCAGTCGGTTAAAAAAAATGTGAGCGAGGAACAAGAAAAGGTTTTTCAAAGAAATTATAAAATGAAGCAGACATGCAGTAGTGACACATGTGAAGTAATTTTTAAAGCAGATGGACCACAATCTGTCCTGATTCCCAATTACAAGAACAAGCAACATTAAAAGGAGCTGTTGTCTGATCAGATCTAATCTCAGGTAACTTCTGAGATCAATAATGGCTGCTTTTATTATCCATCTGATTATTCTACCAACATTTTTTTCTCAAAAAGAGCAGCTCTGTACCCAACAACAGATGCTGATCCAACATTATCCACACTGTATGATCTTTTCTGTAGCCAAGATGTGTCCGATCCCCAGACCTCTGCAGCCGCTGGCCATGGGGAGGACAGAGGCTCCGTTCAAGAGCGTGCTCAACTTCACGTGCGATGACGGGTAAGAGTGAGTTAGAGTTCACATCCAAACTGATTGTTCCGAGCTGTGTTTACAAGGATACGTTTCAGAATAACGGGGACTTTTGTCCACCAGGTATGTCATGCTGGGAGCCAATGAAAGCCGGTGTTTACATGACGGCACCTGGAGCAACCCGCCTCCTGTCTGCAAAGGTGAGAAATGATTCCATCAGGGTTCAATAGAGAGCGTTTGTCAGAGTGTATAGAGTAAAAAGAAATACACAATTAGACATTTTTGATACAATTAGGAAGCAGATTTTTGGTGATGCATTTCATTGAAACTATGTCGAACTTTTAAACAAATGGATTTCAGATGTTTAAAGGTGGAGATTTAGTGCCACAGAAAGCAGCATAACTTGCATTTCGGCATGAGCTTGACATGGATTTTGCTTCATTTTGATTTTCTCAGTGCTTCAGAGCTGCTGTCAATATTTTATATTAATCGGAGCAACTGGACTTGATTGAGTTGCTTGAAGACGTTCCACCTCTCATCCAAGAGGCTTCATCAGTTCTGACTGACTAGTTGGGAGTTCCAGATACTTATATCCTTAAGGAGCCATTAACACCTGAGTTTGGGGGTTTGTTGCTCCTCCCCCTCGTTATATGGGTCGTTAGTGCTCCCCCTGCCACAAAGCGGTTCATTAGGGTCTTTTGTGGCTAGGTGTGAATGTGGTTTCATCTTCCTGGGGAGAGATCTTAGGACTGAATTGTAAACCGGGGAGAGGTGATGCCTCAGACCTCCAGTCTTTCCAGTTTGACATAGATGGCTTTTTTCACCACTCTCTCAATCTGGTTGGAACTCCCAACTAGTCAGTCAGAGCTGATGAAGCCTCTTGGATGAGAGGTGAAACGTCTTCAAGGAACTCAAGCAAGTCCAGTTGCTACCATTAATACAACCATGACCTGGATGACTGAGAATCTTCAGACATAACTCTGTTTTCTTTTTAACCAATCCTTACAGCTGTGAACTGTCCCCTGCCCAGAGCACCGAGAGACGGGAGGATTGTCCACGATAAATCAGTTACTGGAAGCACCACCATGTACGGACAGGGCTGGACATACGAGTGTACTTCACCTAAAGCTCCCAGCTATGAGAGGGGATCCTGCATGGCTGATGGGACTGTACCCGAACCGCCAGTGTGTCGAGGTATTCATGACATTTTCATCATAATCATGTGTGTCATGGCTTCCTAAAATACTGGGTAACATGCTGCATACGCACACACATTAGTAAAACAAATAAAAGATAAGAACAAAAATGATTATATTTTGGCAGCTGTGGCGCAATAACAGAAAATAACCATCTCATATAAATATAGGAATTTTCTATAATTAAATTACTGTGCAGTTGCAGATCATGTTTGTGTATTTTTTGTGTTTTTATTTTTAATGAAGGATACCAACAATTGCAAAAAAAATCTTGTTATATAACAAGTTAGCTAGATAGAGATTATATATGATATGATAAAAACACATTCATTTAACATTTTTGTTGTAAAAAAAAAAAAAAAACTAGAACTATACAAGATATCTGTCATTTAACAAACAAATCAATGTAAAATGACTGAACTATTTTTTAGCAAACTGTATTAAATTTTACAAATATTTCCACAATGTTAAACTTAGATATGCCTGTTTTGTCTTTAAAATATAAAAATTAATATTAGTAAAATTAAAACACATTTATAAAAGGCTTTTTATACCAAAAAATGTCCATTTTCTTGTTTAAAAAATAAATAAAAAATGTGGTTATCCAGAGTCAGAGGTTTTTCATGTTATGTATATAACTGAATTCATATTTTTGCTTAATCGCCTGTAAAATAAAAAGGAATAATTACACTGTGCATGTGCAAAAAGTGTCCATTTACACCTTCTTTTTTTTTTTTTTGCATTCTCCTTTCATAGGACATACAAAACACCCCTCTAAAACAGTGGCTCTAAATGCTTCCTATAATTTTCCTTTAGACAGTTTTTTTTTTTTAAATTGCAGTTGCTACCGTGGTATAATTCCTCTTCTCCACCTTATTCCAGAGGTGAGCTGCTCCATCCCAACAAACATACCAAACGGCGTCATCACCTTCGCTGTGATGAGGCCACACGGCTACAAGGAGAAGGTTAAATACGCCTGCAATGAGCACTATGTTCTGGACGGAGAGGCTGAGATTCAGTGCCAAAACACAGGAAACTGGTCATCAAAGCCAGTCTGCAGGGGTGAGTCATGGTAAAATCTGATCTTCCTTCAGGCTGGATTTTATCTTTATGTTACTGCAAAAGATTCTGGGTGCAGTTTTAGTAGTCAGCTTGTAAAACCGAATGTGTCCAGATTTTTTCTGTGCATCACAAAATAAGAGCGTCTTCAGTCCCCTGATTCTGAGAAGTTGCTTGAGAGAATCAATAAACTTTAAACCAACAGTGACATTTATAACCCACAGTCTGGATTGGAATGTGTTTTTCCACTCAGCTCCCTGCACCGTTGGCATCAAACGAGGCCGAATCTTCTACAACGCCAAGAAGCTCTGGATCGCAGACCTGAAGCCAAACAGAGTCTTCCATGGAGAGCACGTCGCCTTCTACTGTCTGAACAGAGACGAAAGGTGTGGCTACCCGGTGGTCAGCACCTGTAACGACGGGTCTCTCCCCATCCCAGAATGCTTCGAGGGTGAGTTCTTGCCAGATGTGATGCATGCTTCTTGACAGAAAAGATATTTCTTGAACTTGCACAGGTGCAAAGCTTCCACTTGCATCTATAGGAAACAAGCTGAGTCATAACTTCACATGTTTTTATGTTAACTTGTACACACACCGCATGTAGGACTGTGGATATTTATAGCTGAGTCGACACAGAACTTACTCCTCGGAGCTGCGTGCTTTCACTGGCAGCAGCACAGCGCATATGGGCTGCAGATGTCTTCAGAAAAACAGTCGTGAAGTCAGATGAAAATATTTTATGATTACAGTAAATTAACTGCCTCTCTTTTTTGTTTTCTCTCTCTCTCCTTTCTCTTTTAGAACCAGGAAAGGTGGAGTACAGCTTGAGGGCCAAAACCCTTCCATCAGAAATCACCATGTGTGCTTCTTCCCCCCCTGCGAGTACAACAAGCTCCACCAGACCCGCATGACCTCTAACTGAATGATTAACTGCATTGTATTCTGAGACAGGGCCGGCTGTGTTAATGGTCGTTGTTTATTTTGTCATTTTTAACTGGTAATAAAAATATAGTGGTAATTATGAATGAAATAATGAAGATGTGTACTCCTTGTTACTCTAAAATAGCGGTCAGCCACTGAAGAAACTTTGGGCCTCTTCAGTTTCCAATACATACAGAACATACTGAACACATATGAAGAGTTCATTTACAAAAACAGATAACTCCATCTTCACAAATCTTCAGAAAACCCACTTTTCCATCGTCTACCTGAGACAACATCAATCAAACTGAAGCTATCTCTGTTTCTGTCATGACATTTCTACTGAGTCAAATCCACTCAACTTCAGTTTGATTAATATTATCTCAAGCCAACAACAAAAAAGTTTTCTGAAAGTCTACAAAAATGGAGCTATCTGTTGCTGCAAATGAACTCTTCATATGTATTTTGCAACAAACTACATAGAGCTGAACTTTGTGTCATAATAAAAGTTTAAGCTAAATAATATGTACCAGATGTGTAGCAGAAGGATATATAAAGATAGAAGTCAGCTAAAGAGCTTTTTTTTTCTAAAATCATGTTTCGATGCTCTTCACAAGGGCTTCAAGTAAAACACACGAGTCATAAAGTCATCATGTTTGAAAAGAAGACGGATAAAGTGTGAAACAGCCAACAAAATTAATAAAAGGAAAAGATGAAAACATTCACAAAGGAAAGAAAAGAATGAAATTCAATCTTGAGTAAAATCAGAAAAGACTGTCCAATAAAAGCACTTAAGAAGAGACTTAAAGGAGGTCAGTGACTTATTCATTCTTGTTCCTCAGGCCGATTGTTCCAGAGACTGCAAAAACTCTGTCTCCTTTAGTTTTCAGGCCTGGACCTGACAGAAGATGTCAAAGTACAAACCATCCATTATCTATACACCGCTTAATCCTCACTGGGGTCGCAGGGGGCTGGAGTCTATCCCAGCTGACAGGGGACACCCTGGACAGGTCACCAGTCTATCACAGGGCTACACTTAGAGACAGACAACCAAGCACACTCACATTCACACCTACGGACTATTTAGAATCACCAATTAACCTCAACATGTTTGGACTGTGTGGGAGGAAGCCGGAGAACCCGGAGAGAACCCACGCTGCACGGGGAGAACATGCAAACTCCACACAGAAAGATCCCGGGTGTCCTTACCGGGACGCAAACCAGCGACCTTCTCCCTGCGAGGCAACGATGCTAACCACCGCTCCACCGTGCAGCCCCAGCTTGTTTTCCCATGTGTAAAATATTTTCTGAAAGAAGGACTGTTGATCGGATCATGAGGCTTCTTCTAACATACAAAAACAAAATATCTGCATGTGAACAAGCTCACCTGATTCTCACCATCTTTAATGATATGCAGCAGTCTCTCCTGGTGTCATGTTATGAAGGTAAGGAACTTTCAACAAACATGTTCCTCCTTATCCATCCTCACTTTAAACCACCTAGCATCGCTAAGCAACACTGTGGTTCGATATTGAGTTTAACATTTGGTCGATTTCGGTGTCAGAAACCAAGAGAGGTTCAACAATAAGGCTCGAGGAAAATATTCTCCTGATAAAAGCTGACGGGCTATTAAGAGAAGAGAGGCTGACATACCCTGTGATGTTGACCTGACATTCTTTAATGGATGTTTTTATTTCACCAATTCACAGCCTGTTTCTGTGCGATTCTAATCTGGCCTTTACTGCTCTTATGTGAACAGCCCACAGAGGTGCTGGGACTCGTGTTCAGGCCACTTTAGCACTACTTGTGTTTAAAAAAGGACTAGAAAAGGGCTCCATGAAAGTTGAAAGAGGAACAGGGTTAGTAAAAAAAAAAAAGTCACATTCAAATACAGTTTCAGTTGAATTAATGCCTGTGCTACTTCATTACAAGCTGATTGAATTTGGACTTTAATATCAAATCTGTAGTTGCTCTCTGAGTGACACGTTATTCAAGTTATGTTCTATGACTCACTAACTTCTAGGAATCAAAATTTTGTGCTAATCTGACAACTAAAGTATCTTTGTAGTGACATTACATGACTCTTGATCTCGATTTCTGTGGTTTTTGTTTTCTTTATACAGACACCAAGTATAGCACAATGTGCTAAGCTCCCTAAAATAATTCGAGCAAATTGCAATAGCAGGACAAATTAAATGTCTTTCCTGTTTATTTACATTGCAGCAACAAGGGAAAGTCCACTCTCTGCCTTTTTTCACTTCCAGTAAAATGTCACATGGATGCTAGTGAGCAAAAAAAAAAAAAAAAAAAAGCAGATAACATAACAAAGATTGTCCGTAAGCAGTTACTTCATGTTGCTCTTATCTGTTTACTTTTAGAGAAACACAAACAGCAGTGAAAGAGGGGCACAGAGAGTCAGTATTTGAAGCAGAGACGACAGGAAAGAGCTGAGGAACATCTGTACATTGACAAAAATAAAGGATGGAACGTATGCTGACTTTGTTCCTGCTTTGTCCGGCTGTGTTTTTTGCCGCTGTGACATCCGGACAAGACAATGGTATTATTATTGGCTTTTATTTAACATTATATGGCTTGAAGTGCTTGTATGTATAATAGTTTATTCCACAGTTTTCGTGGCTTTAGTTAAATTGCAGTTCTTTGTTCTGAAGGAACTTACAGAGTCGTGATTATGTTGATTTCGGAGTACAAGGAGTCATTGTTATTTTGAAATGCTTTGTTTTCATATGTTTTTCTTCCAAAAAAGGAAAAATGTTTTTACTGTCCTCTTCATATAAAATTCATTAACTGATTGTCCTTCACAGCAGAAAAAAAAATTAATTAAATGTTTATTCATGTTACTCCTTCTTTGTCAAATGTTGTCAGAACTAAAAACTTAAAATGCACTTTATCTGAAAAGAGCAAACATGTCAGTTTAACTACCCTGTCTTTATTTTTTTTTTTTTAACAATAATTGGCAAAAAAAAAAAAAAGTGCAACATAATTTACATTGTTTCAGGAAACGTGGATCAAAAATAGCCCTGAAAAGTTTTACACTCCTTCAGAATGATGGACCTTCCAGTAAATATTGCTCGAAATTAGCAGCGTTAAACAAATTGTAGCACAAAGTATTGATATTCCTTCATTCAAATAGTTTTTTTTCTCTTTTTTTTTTCTCTGCATGGCATTTAGGATAGGGGTAAATGATTAATTTCTATTGCAGTAGCCCAGATGTTACAAAGAGTTTTTGCAAAACTCATATATGACAAGATATTTGTTTCAATGAATTTTCCAGTCTACGCACAATTCTTAATAAATCTTTTTTTTTCCTCTCACAGTGTGTTTAAGGCCTAACTTGGCTGACAATATCGAGCTGGCCGGGCTCCAGAGGTACTTCAGCCCCGGTGCGGAGTTAGCCCTGTCCTGTATAGACGGATACACCCCCATATCCGGCCCTCGCAAGATCGTCTGCAGTGCCAGCGGAGAGTGGACGAAAACCAAATTCAAGTGCATACGTGGGTCTCCATTATTCTAGTGAGAAATTAAAGTCTTAGAGGTTATGTGAAGAAACATTATTTTAAAGCAGATTTATCAGTACAATACTTTTATTTTAGCTGTAATAATGACTGATATTCCTATATGTGGTATAGTTGTCAGAATTTTCCATTATTATATAAACTTTTAGAGATTTATTTTCATTGTCAGTCTTTATTTTATTCATTGTGTCCTTGAGATGAGAAAAGTGCACAACTTTAAGAGATTTGGGGAAGAATTGTCAGTAAGAATGTGAAGCAAGTCTATTCCTTTACTACATATTAGAGTACACTACCACATACAACTTTTAATAATTTCTTGATTACTCTGTCATTCTGTAACGTTTGAACAGAGAATCCATCCATCTATTGTCTATACACTGCTTAAT